CCTACCGAGGCAGTAGATAACTCCGTTAGCTACAACAAGCCCCGCTCCTTCCCGTGCTGTCTGCATATCTCCCAGCATACTCCATTGATCAATGTTCGGGTCGTATCGTTCCATACTGGTGTGACGTCGGCTTCCATCAAACCCACCGGAAACATAGATCATGTCTGCAACATTAGACAGAGGTTGGACTCAGTGAGTCACGTATCAAGCATGCACACGGAGCCCGAAGGCCCTCACAGATGGAGCAAAACTACAACATGGACTGCAAAATACAGGAACAACTACAGATCTTGGCACATTCAGAGCCAAGACAAACCCAGCCTCCTCACCCTACCTCACTGCATTAGCCTGCTCACAGACCCAACAAACAAAACAAACGTAAAACCCATCTGGCCCTTAAATCTGCTTCTTGCTGATGGACGAAAGAGAACACGCACATCCCAGTTATTTTTTTCATGCTGCAGAACCTACTGAAACACTGCCATGCCCAAACCCTGCCTATCACTAACATTGCATCAGCACCTCCCCAAAGTAAATGCTTACGAGGTAGTAAACACACAGGTAGCAAAAAGAAAGAAGATCCAAAAGACGTGTCTGGATCATCAAGATCAGTCTCTTATACTGGAGAACCTAATTCATGCAATGCTTTCACAAATCTGTCATCTTCAAAGCAGCTGCGTTTTTAACAGAATTTTAATGACAATAGATTATTAACAATCTAAATGAATAACATTTAACCCATATTAATTATTAAGAAGATATTATAATATAAGCATTAAAGCACAGAATATTCATTAGAGTGACTGCTATTTTAATGGCTAGAAAACTTCCTCTCATTTCCACACCAACTTTTTCCTGGCCTGTTTACAGCCATTTGTTCTTATTCAATTATTGTATTGCCCTTTTTCTTCTCGTGCCAAGTTATACTCATAGAGAACAATCATATCCCCTCTTGGTCTTTGCTTTGCCAGCATAAGCAAGCTGAAGTGTTCTGGTTTGCTCAGGAAAGTAGTTTTCTTCTTCCAAGTCTGTCCTAAGAATCCTCTGCACATGCTCCAGCTTCAGCCTCTCTCCAGTGCTGGAAGGTTATTCCTGTACTTGGTGTCCTGTGCTCAGAAATACGCGACACTGTCACCACCCCAAGAGCTTCCCACTCCGTAATCCCTCATAGAGTTCCTTTCCCTCGATGCACACACCCATGCCGCAAGAATGAAGTGGAGGCAGAGCTCCTCTCAGGATATGTGGGCAAGTTTTCCATTTCTACATCCAAACGATGAGAAGGCAGAATTTCAGACTGCCTTCTCCCTCGGAGCCATCCCACTCTGCACATACCAGCTCAGGGCATTTCAGGATGAGAACTGAACAGGCTGTACTGCCCTGTCAGCACAGTGACCAGGACATACCTCCAAGGGTCGTGGCTCCCGCCAGGCCTCGCCGTACATTCATTGGAGCCACAGAGTACCAGATACCATCCTCATCTGATGTATAATCCAAGCACTCCACCGAGCTGAGACGAGAGCGACCATCATACCCCCCAATCACATAGATCCGATCATGCAGGGACACTGTAGCGACGTACCGTCTCTTACGGGTGATGCTCTAAAACAGTAAAAAGAACAAAAAGGTCAAGGAGAGGAAATAACACTGATGCATGCAGACCAGCCGCTGTTCTTCCACCCTCTTTTGCTGCTCTTTTGGAAAATGGCCCACTAGCACAGTGGCAAACAGCACTGTGGATTTAAAGGATACAGCCTTAATGACTGCGTCTGCCTTCCTCTGCCTGTTCTCTGTTTCTGCCATGCTCTCTTCTCATGGCCCGGTCTCTCTGCAGTAAAATAGTTTGCCTTAAGGCAAAAATAATTTGCCTTAAATGCCTTAAATTTATCTTACGCTGCTACTGAATCTTTGATACATCTCGGAGGTTTGTGTGCCTCCCACTGGCTCCCTGCAGAGACTGTTAATGGGAAAAGTGCAGACTCAGAATATTTGATGAAAATACCTGAAGCTTTTAGCCTCCAAAAGAGAACAAATTTTGGGACACCAGATGATACTGGGTCTTCTGTCATTCGCACTATTAAAGAAGAGGCAGTTGTCCACTATTTCACACAGATAAAGGTGATTTTAAATTTACGTAGAAATAGTCCTCAGTGCAGGAATTCTCTCTTCCTTACTACCTCCCATTATGCTCAGAAGCAATGAAACCAGAGAGATCATGCAGCCTGCCTGAAAGCAGGACTGATTATACTATTCCTATTGACATTTCAATTATCATCATTAACCTTAAAGCTTAACATCCTTTCAATAAGAAACACGATAGCTCTCACTCCCACAACAAAGATGTAGGTCTCTGTAGGCTCATCTGATTAGAAATACAACAACCACCTCTTATACAAAGCTTACTTAGCAAATCTGCAAACGTGAACTGGTTTTAGCATTCACTATGTAAACCTCAAAAACAATAAAGAATTTCTGTCAGACATTCTGAGCAGAACACAAAGGATAGCCCAAAGAGAAATGTTCTGTAGTTGATACTGCAGGATCAGCATTTGATCACAGCCTATTCAACCCAGTGGTGGTCAAAAATGATCCCTTACTGGCAAGAAACTCCACTCCTGAGTCTTCGGGTCGTATTTCTCCACAACATCAATAGGTGACTGCTGGCTGCCAAAGCCGCCGATCACAAGCAGGACTTCATTAGCTCCTAGAGCAAAGAGGGAAAGCAAAGTCAAGTCAATCCTTTCACAACCAAAAGGTCACCTCAAGGGAATCACCTGAAGAAACACTGCGCCTTCCTTGGTGCAACAAGCTGCCTCTAAATCCCTGTTTTCATCACTACTCCGAAGCAGGCACCTAACCTGGCTGCAGGCACTTGGACTCCCTCTATCCTCAGCAGGGAAGAAGAGAGAGACACTGTTCCAGGGTGCGTGGGAGGAAGGCCACCTCAGGTGTTAGGAGCTGTCTGCTGGAGGGCTGTTCCTCCTAATATTAGAGGCACTTTGAAAAGACAAGCTGGCTAAGTTAGGTGCTGAACTTGGCTCATTTATATCTTCTTTTGTATTCTTTCCGTGACTTTTTCCCAAACCTTTTACCACCCCATGAAAGCTGAAGGAGGATGGCCGCTTCCCTGCAGCCTCCTCACAAAACAAGGCCTTCTCTCCGTGTTTGCAAGTGACATCCAGACCAGATGGCACCTTTGTTTACCACTTCACCAAGAAACAAGTCAGGCTGACTGAAGCCTGAAAAATTAACTAAATATTTCCCCAGGAATTAAGTCTTACATATTTTATTTCAAAGTTGCTTTACCTCTACTTTCTTTTCTCTGAGATGGTCCCTGAATTTTTCTTATTTTCTCCATGAGTGTTAAATACCACTTGTGACTTGGAGAGTTTTAACTTCCCTTGTAGTGATTGCCTTGAAGGTAGGCTTCTGCCATAGTTTTAAAAATAGATGAGCATCCCTTGGATCCTTTGGGCCCTTTCTGTAACAGGGAGTTTTACTAGAGTTTAGAACTGTCCAGCTTTTCATTGCAGAAGGACTGAACACCAAGCAACAAAGATTTAACAAGACGCTGTCTGTCACAAAGCAAAACAGCTGCTACCTCAGATGAAGAATAATATAAAAAAATAACTGGGAAAGGTTCAAAAAAGAGCTCCAACAACAACTTGGAAAGCCTCCTGCCCAGTATAACAGCTAAAAGTGCAATTATTTCAGTTTATCCCATAGAAAGTTAATACACAACTTGATTGCAGTTTGTAAGTTACACACGATAAGAACATTGCTGATGGTATTGAATCAATGAAGAAGGTAGGGCTGAATCCAGAAGATAAACCTTAGCAATAAGATGCACAGTTTTTACCTGTACAATTAAACAATAAAACACTTTTGTGATGTCTGCTTTATCACGTAAAGCATTTCAACTAAGAACAAAATGAAACCTTTCTTTCTAAAATGACAGGTTGAACTGAACTGCCTGTCATTGAAACTGATGTAGGATGTTCCCACAAAAACAGGAGACATGCTGTGCCCTGGACTATGTGGGACTTCAAACCACATCATAACATTTCCTTCAGGCCAAAAAACTTTAATTGATGTGTCTCTCTGACAAACCTAATTTGCCCTCCTCCTCTAGTGGTTTAAACTGCTTTCTGTCCCCTAAACCAGTGTTAATAACAGGAAATGGCCACGAAGGGTTTGTCAGGGTCCCTCTCCGCAAGCAGCAGCACTGGAGAATACGCAGGAAGGTTTGCTTGCAGGAAGAGCAGTCAATGCTGGCACCGATGGCACTGCCCTGTGAGTGCACCCGAGATAAAGGCAGGGCAGAGACAGTCCTGAGAGAGTGACTCTGAAGGTGAGAAGGGGCGTCAGGTGAGGAACGGCCACAGTCATGAAGAAGCCAGCAAAATACTTTTCCTTCTTCTGTAGGTCATTCCTACTGTTTATGTTGCTCTCCAGTGCTTACACCCCTAAGTCAAGCGTTTTCCCAACAATTCAGTGACTGTGCTTAGTAGGAGTTACTGAAATAGAGGAAGAAATCATCATTTATTTGCCTTAACAAGGCTAGGGGGAAAAAAAAGGTACCTCTGAAAGGAAAGAGGGACCTCTCCATCTCCCTCCTTGTGCCTTCGCCTCTCAGACTCCCCACTGAAAACGTATCTTCACTGTAACACAGCTGTCTCTCACCTCACAGCTCTTTTTGTTTCTGACACCGATACCTGCCTTTTTAGACAGGAAGAAACTCTTCCCACACTTCTTGGACAGCTGCATACTGAGACAAACATATCTGGAGGCACCAACAACTCAGGAAACTGGTTTTATGGTTACAGCAGAGGCCTGGAATTAAAGGCAACCAACTAGTTGCTGCACTGCCACTAAGCAATCGTGCTCTGAAATAAACTCTGTCCTTTGCTCCAGTTCCCTTTCTGTACCACCGGGGACTGTGGATTGACAAGTTACTGCTGTGAAGCACTTCAGTATAATTACAAGGCACTAGACATGATGTATAATACAATATTTGCCAGTGCCCCAGACCTTCTCAGTGTCCTTTCCTTTGCTGCTCACCTAGACGTGCTCTTGTCCTAGGTCCTTGCATCTGACTCCGGAGTTCGGGACGAAGATGAAATTTCTTAGCTTCATCTACGAGGTCTCTGCACTGCAGACTGCATCGTATAAAAGGCTGAGGAAAAAAATGAGTCACTGGTACATGCAATGTATTTTAAGATCCCTCATAAGAACTCTCCTAAAGCCAACTCTCATCAGTTCAGACAGCATTAAAATGACGCGTGCAGGCTGTTGCTAGTAGTGTCATGGTGCAAATACTGCACGCAAGGAAATGCAAACGCAAGGAAATGCAAAAACAACTTAAGACTGGACTGCAGCTGAAAAGATACGGCTCAAATCCTCACACAAAGTCTGGCATTGGAGGTTCCATAATGGACTATATTGGAAAACTAAGGAAAAGCCACTTCTGCTACATTTAAGCCAGCAGAAGTATGTCTGAGAAGGGGGACTGGCAGCGAAACTACACTTGAAAGCAGTTTGGCTGGATCTGCCCCAAGTAATCAACTCTCAGCACGCACCTGCCATCAAAGAAGAAACAAGACAGGACAATGAAGCAGTTTAGCTGGATCTATAAGCTTGATCCCTGTGCACATGGGACATGGAACTACGAAGAGACAACAGAAGGAGTCAGGTCTTCTTTAAAAGAAGCGGGGGGTACTGCAGCCCAAGGACAGTCTCATCTCCTCCTTGCAGAAGGCCATATAATTCCCCTCCCTGGCTGAGGGCCTGGACCAAACCTCCCCTGAACGTTCAGCATTCAGTTCCCTCCGGGCGTTTGCTGCAGTAAGTCAAGATTTATTTTTACAAGTTCTTGGTGCTTGCGCCAGAAGGCCAGGATGTTCAGAGCAGATGATGCCACACAGAGCCAACACTTTAGTCTCCGTGCTGCCCCGAGATGATACGTCCCACCAGTATGTGTCACTTCCAGACTGGAGAGGCAATCCAGTGCAGTAAGAAAGCTGAGGCCCTGTATACACACTGTCTGAGGCTGGTTTTAGAACAGATCTAATTGTTTTGGTACCAGTCCCTTTCGTGTTAGCTTCAATTTTAGTTTAAAGTGGACCATAACAATCCGACTAAACACTTTTTAGCTCTTGCAGAATTTAACTGCCTGTTAGCTGCCCTTATTTAAGAACATCCATAAAAGACAGCATTAGAGATGAATGTTGCTAAATCAGGTATTTCTCTATGTAGAGAAGTCTGTTACTCAACATTCAGCACCTGTCAGGTGACAAGGGCTAGTAACCACCAATTAGCACACATCACCATCAAACCAGAACGCTGGTTCGAACTTCTCTGTGCCTTCCTGTCAAACCTTGCACGGGGTCAGCATCACTTCCTGTTTGGAATTAAACTTCCATTACAAAAGCTTAATTATCTCTTACCATCGTCCACATTTTGGTTTGCCTCTGCAACACCCCAGCCACACAAAGAAGCAGTATTAGATATGGCTTTTAGCTGTGTGTTGGCCCTGGACCTACACAGCCACTGTCCTTCTCATTCAAAGGTACATGCTTGCCATCTGCACCTAAAACAACTTCTGAGGAGCCATTTCCTCCCTAGCATCACATGCCAGCAGCCTTCAGGCTAGAGAAGGAGACCTGCTAGCGTTTAAGAATGAAAGGCAGAAAGCACTTGTTAAAAACTATAGCGGATGACATCAGAAAGGTGCTACATATATCAGAGGAGACAACTGACTAATTGCTCTGGACAGGGTGCCCTCCCAGCTGAAAAATAGGATGCTGTAACTGCTGGCACAGCAAACTACTGAGTAAAACAGTGGGCACTCCAGCTGAACAGGGACAACTCCATAGTGTCAGCATCAAAAAGTATCAGCAGAGAAAGCAGCCTTTAACATGTTCTGTTAGGACAGCAGGAGTCTAACCAGGTAACATGGCAATCAGAGACAGACACCGGCTCCCAGCTGTTCTGTGTCCCTGGACCTGGATTGCCGATACCTCGGTGTCGATGACGTCTGTGATGTAGCGGGGGGTTAGAAGCGGCATGCGCACGTACTGCAGCAGTTCTGGCAGTGATGCTTCCCGTTCTTTTTTGGAGTGCTTCACCCAGTTTATAACCGCCTCAAAAACCGGCTCTTCAGAGTCCACCTGGAAAGAGGAGGCACACACTGATCAGACTGCAGGATAGTATTTCAGCTATTGCCATGGAACAGACAACTTCCAGGCTGTTGACACTGCTTCACAGCTAGCAAGAGAGCAGGACATTTCAAGTAAGAGTCCATTATGGAAATTCCCATGAGCTGTATTTACAAGCAGTATGAAATGCCCTCATTTTCTTTTCCTTAAAACTGCATTTGTTTTTTTCCCTTACAGGTGAGATCAACAACTGGCAGTACGAGTGCCAGAAACGTGAGTGTTATGGTACGCAGCAGAGCCAGAAGCTGAGAGCCACCACTGTTGAGAGAGCGGTGACAGGCAGTAACTCGCAGGGCAGCTCCCCTAATTTCTCAGCGGAGCAGGAGTTAACGGTCCTGCAAAATGAAAAATACCATCATAAAGACGATCAGAATCGTGGTTCCTTTTTACGGGGCAGTGTCTCGCTTAACCCCCTGCAGCCCCATGCCCATGCACTGCCCTTTTAACACCTGAGCCATACCAGGTACATTCAAGGTTTCTTTTATTTCAGTCCACATTTAAGAAACTATAAACAACTGGATTTCAGAGTGGAGAACCCCAGGGTGTGAATGTTACTGTTTATTTCTACTGTTTATTTTATTTCGTCACTAGTTTATTTCTTTCTGCCTTTAGGACCAACACATGCTAGTGCTTACACCACTTCCAGAGATTACACTGACTAAACCATCTAAATTTGATACTTTTAGAGAACCTCAGGTGTTTTGGACATATATGACTACCAAAACCAAAAGAATTGTAAAAAGCTCTAGAATATACTATTTAGGCTTGGTTTTCTCTTTGCACATCTTCAGATCATCCAACGTAAAAGCAAATCAGACATGAATTTATTATCATGAGGTCTGTTAACTGTTATTAAATATGAAGATAAAAGGAGATACTGTAATAAGAAGATTGAGCCTTCCCACTGACGTCTGACTGGTCCACTTTGAAGTTCAGTTTGAAGCTGTCTGTTGCAGAACGTTCTGAAGCAGGCAGCCACAGAGGTTAATTATGTAAGGCAATTCTTCCAAGCCACTGATTTATATTTGTTACAGTGTAATTTGAAATGGCCTCATTCTATTTGAATTAAAGGGAAAGGACAATTAGAGCTCACAAAAGGAGAGCAGAGTACTTTATTGTTTCCAATTTTCCTCACCTCCTCCTTAAATGCAATAATCCCACATCGTTTTATTCCCTCCCGAACTGACTGTCCTCTGATATATTTAACAACTTTGTTGTTCATGAAATCATTTCTGTTTTCTGATAAACGATGAGTAACACTAAACACAGCATCCCAGCGAGGACCTGCCATTACATTTTTTGAACAGCCAGGGGATTTTTCTGAGGGTGCTCCCTCAGTACCCTCTGATATAGCACACCACCAGCTAGATTTGCTTCCTTCACCTTCTTAAGGTATTACAACAAACACACACCTCACTGTGTGTCTGCAAGGCCTGAATAAGACCTTCCAATCCACTATGAATTTTACTTTGCCTGTACAGATCATCTGATCAGTTTGGCTGGGTCATTCTCAAGCTCCTCATTATTTCCTCCTCGCTGTCCAGAAGCATGATCAGTACTCACCACAACCCACATAAGCTCAAACCCTCATGGTGTAAAAGCTGCAGCTTGTTAAACACCAAACACACTCAGCCTTTCTCCACTGCTCATCTCAGCCTGTGCCAGGGTCTTTCACTGCTATCTTGCATGCTCCTTCTCAAGCAGGCTCATTAACAAGAGGATGTCAGCTTGGCTGAAAGCCACTTTCAAGGCAGACTTTCAAGGCATACATCACGAATTCTCCTCTGGCTACTCCTATATTGGCTTTTCAGGAATTCCACCAAAGATATCACTTATATTGGTTTGCTTCTAAGAGTTCATGTTACTGTGAACTCTGAATAGTGATTGCTTCAATCACTTCTTTCAGAACTGAAGCAAACATCAACTCTCAACAAAGTCCATCTCAATAAAAAAATCAAGTCCCCTCCCCTTACCAAGGAATGTTCAACTTATTCATAGAAAATTTGGAAAAAAGTATTTGACAGGTTCCAGCCAAATAGTAAGTCCTCCAGAAACCAACCTTAAGGGAACTAAATCTGCATGTAACTCCCTGAAGAGTCAGACTACCCTGCACCATCATGCATTCTGCTGCTTGTAAAAGTAGAGGACACTCAAATGCCTGGGATGACACACACATTCCTTGTGCTGCTGAGTAGCATGCAAAGACCTACAAATAGAAGTTAAAGTCTTGGGGGTATTTCTGAAATGTAGGCATTGAGACAACTTGCCTTTGTAACCTTTGAAAGCTCCTCCAGGGAAAGGAGGAGACAAGGGAACAAGAACTCTGCAGAGGTAACTAACTGTGATTATCTTACTTGCAAGAAACACTTGTGTGACAACAAAGTCTTACAGAGAAGCTACATGTTACTGATCAATTTCAGATTACAAAAAATTAGAAGAAGCTTCTTGGAAATTAAAGTTCAGGAACCGTGTGAGAAGTCCACCCTAGAAGTATGGGCTAATTTCTGACTGGTTTCAAGGTTTTACTTCAATGCTTTGCACGGTAACGGTACTTTTCAGGTTTTACCTGAATTTCATCACACTTGATGAGCTTTTCAACCTCTTCTTGATTTAAGAGGATAAACTCTTCATGCTGAACCACCTCTGGAAAATGTTTCTGGCTGAAGACCTCTGCAGCTTGCATTAGATCAACACAATTGTGTGTCTCAGCAAAATCCCGAATGCCCAAACAATTTGATGGATCCAGCTGGCTTTCTAGAAACTCACAGCAAGCTTGTTTCACACCTACGGAAAATTGGAGGGGTGAATGAGCACTGCATGCTTACTATCAATCCACTGCTTTGGAAAGGGCTTCAGAAAATAAAGTTCTAAACAATAATGAAAATCCAACTCAAATAACAAGCTTAAAAATACTACAGAAACACACACATGCAAATACTTCTTTGCAGGGACGTGAAAACAGTAACCAGTAGACTATGTGTTTGGGCTGTTTTGATCTCTGGCTATTCTATTTAAACGCAAAAATTAAATAAATCTGATACTAGGAAAAGACTCAAACGTGAGCTGTACTCTGCTTCATGGATTATAAACAAAAAATTATATGCTAGTGGATGTGCCTACCAGATTTCTCAGTTTTCTCCTACGTCTTTTTCATAGTCGCCTGGGATTTGGGATAATTTCCTGGGACAGCTCCATAGGTGCATGTGCAATGACATCAGCCAGTTTGTTAACGACCCAGACATACTATGATGGCAGGTCAAATGACATCTAGGATTTGCTTATTATTATAAGTTGACTGAGCTCTAACATTTATGTGCTATTCAGCCTACAATTCCTCTTGGGAATTCTCACGCAGAAATACAGTAGCCCAAAGCAGGGAACAATAACCTGTTTTATCATCTTTTTTTCCCACCCAAGTCAGGTCCTCTACCAATGAGACCACAGCGCACAAGACAACAGAAGAGGTTTGACATAAGTACTTATAAATATCATGCTTCCCACAATCTGTCTTCCATTTACAGAGGTCAGACAAACCAAATCTCTAAACAGCAGCAATTGTGCAATTTGTGCTGATACTTGGCAATTACCTTTCAGCTGAAGCAGACATGCCGCTGGGAGCAATTCTTGGACGTTTTCTACTGTCACGTGAACAGTTTCTGTATATACAAAGTCTAGCAGGATTTCCATGGTGGAGGCTGTCAATCCCTGGATATCTACATAGGGCTTATCTTTCTCTGAAAGCTGTAAATTAGAAGGGAGACAAAGGTTTATTTTTCAGTAATGTGGTCAAAAAGACAACAACGCTCAGCAGTTTTTTACAATGTGATCTGTCAGAGACGTTTCAACAGAGATTTATCCCTTCTCTTCTTGCACTCACTGAAAGAGTAAGGGGTTTTTTTCCTACAGAATTCAATTACAGGGTGAGTAAAAGAGACAAAGTTCATTATAGATCAGGAGGTCAGTCAAACTGCATTGTAAAATGAGCAAGCTGAGATTAGAGATAGCAGAAATTACATGCATCATTTGTGCAAGACAACTAAACTCTCTCCTCCATGCAGTAACTCCAAGCTTTACTACAAGGAACAGTCCAGAAGGATTCCTCCCTGAGCTGGATGTGTACGACACACTGCAGTTTACACGGGATCCCCACCTCACCACTCTGCTCTAAAACCAAACCAAATAAAAATCTTTCCTAACTGTTCAATTTCTGATCCATTCTGCAAGCTTATCGTGAAGGTTCCTAAAAAGAATGACTATTTATAGGCCAGAAAGTTCAGAGTGAAAGGTTAAATGTAGGTTTAGCTTAAATATTTGAAAGTAAAATGATGGTACATACAGTGATGGTACTTAGACAATCGTGACTTTGTTCCCCGATCATTTTCTCACCTCTAAGATACCTCATTTTGGAATAATTATTTTTTCCATGGAATGTTACCCTCTCAACAGTCAATCTTTGGGAACAGTAAATTCTGCAAATCCACCAAATCTGCATCTCTATAGGTACAAAACTGAGATTATATTTCACAAAGCATCAGCTTTGTGGTTCAATGCATCCATCACGAAGCTGCTGGCACAGCATCCGATGATTCACGAACAATGGGCTAGCAGGTGGACCCACTAATCATACCCTGCACATAGCTGCAAGCTAGTCAGCATGAACGGCCCTCAACAGAAGGATGTCTCCATGCAGCACATTGCAAAACCAACCTTTTTTCCCCATGACTTTTGAAGAAGTAGTCGGTATCAGTGGAAGTACGATTCAGATGAAAGCCCATGACTTTTCTTGCCAACAATGAGCCTGACGTTGGTTACAGACAGGTTGAGCAGAGACTCAGTGAACAGAAAGCATGATCAAAGCGTGATCACTTGGCTTAGAATTTGCCACAGTTGGGGAAAAAGGAGGTAATACAGAAATAGAGAAGATAAGAGCAGGCAAGGATATTGCTGCAGAGGCATTCGATGACAGCAGCAGAAGGGAAGAAATGTCTCTGCTGAGGCTGAGCCATTTCTATGATGCAGAGAGATACACTTCATAGTAAAGAAGAGAAACACAGGAGGTAATGGTGATACTTGAAGTAATTTGAGGGAAGAGGCCTTTCAAGTCTGTTGACACAGTGAACAAACTTTATGGCATCCAGAGTCAGAAAGGAACAGCAAATTACCTTGTCTGACCTGCTGTATGACAGGCCATGCATTGCATTTAGAAGCTCAAATGAGTTTCTAACTTGGGCTAGACAAAACATTCCCAAAACAAGAGTAAGCTGTTTGGTACAACAGATAAAGGACACAGATGTCACCAAAGGTCAGAACTGATCAGACAAGAGGTTCATATGATTCCAACAAGCAAATGGAGATGTAGACCACACATACTTAGAAGAAAGAGGATAAGAAGTTACAAACTATTGACAGGAGATTACAAGGGCACCAGACCTCCTGCTGATGTATTACACTGCATCAGGTAGAAGCTGTAGACATCTGTTCTTCACAGATCGGCCTGGAGCTGGTAAAGAAGCTCCTGTCTCCAAAAGCAATATTCAATAATCAATAATCAGCCATGCACACACTCTCTTTATACTGTCGATCAAAACACAAACTATAGGAACAACACTAATACTATACAGATGATCACCTCCTGCTTTGCTTGTACTTCTGCTACACTCTACTACTTGGTTGTTCTTTGGCTCACAGTTTACTCACGTGCTAAGATTGCTTGAAAGGAAGAAAATATTTCAAGTAACTTCACAAAATGTATGTGATGCAGCATAACTTGGGATCCTAGCATCATACCACAGAGAAAGATCTCAGAGTGGAGACAACTTGATTCTGAACATCCCACGAAGAACGACTTTGAGCTGTAGCTCCAGACTGCATATGCAGTGTTAAGAGAAGCGTACACAGCGCTCAGTGCTGTGCTGTTGGGACAGAGAGCGTCCCTCTTTTATCAATACCTCCACATATTTGGACTCAAAAGCCATGCAAAATTATGGTCATACAATGCTAATCAAAACACAGTACAAGCAGCTTTCCTTTCACAGGTGTTTAGTAGTATGAGACATATCTCTGCATCTCTGCTGTTAGAATTTCAGATTAGTTTCTCCCTTTGTTGTTTAGTATCAGAGTTCTGCTAACCAGCAGGAAGTAAAGCAGTAAGGGATTGATACTCCTTAATACAGGCACATTTCTAACATGTCATAAGAAGTATGCAGCAATACAGATCCAGAAATCAACTGCAGCATCCAGGAAAAACATTCCCATAGTTAAGGAAACTCACTTGGAGACATCAGGAGTTTTACCCCAGGATGCCTAAGTTGCTGAAAGCCTTAAGTCAGGGGCTGCAGGTCATAGCTCTGTTGTGAAATATAATGTTGCTGTCTCCAATTCCATCCATAAATCATGCAACTCGCTCTGCAGGAGAATGGGTCTAAAATTTTGGAACCACTTTCTTACCCAAGGCTACTTCTTTTTTTTGCCTTCACTAATGCAGATACACAAAAGTATACTGTAATAAACCCCTCCAATTTCTTCTCACCTGTAAGTGGAAAGAAATGCTCGCGTGACAGTGCTAATATGTGGCTCACTGCATTCTGGAAGGCACCCACAGTACAGTGAAGATGACCATGTAAGAACCTGGAAACAGCAGCTGGTTATTTTCAGAGTAAGAAGAATATTTCTCCATGTTCTAGGGGAAAAAACCCATTCAATTACTAGAACATACCCTCCAAGAGAAGACAGACTAATCTTTTTCTGAGGTGGAGCCAACGACCAGCTTTTAACACCTCCTGAGTTATGCTAACTTGTCCAAACAGACAGAAACGCCAGTGCCCAACTAGGATCCAGGAGGGCATTTGCTAAAACTGCTCTTCACTTTTCACTACAAGGAAGAACCCTGGAGGTAAAACCGATGGGTGTTTCATTTTTCCCACCATGCTCAGCACAGGGGCAGAGAAAAGTGTTGTCAAAAGCCAGGGGTTCAACAGGTGACCAATGGCTTTTCCTCATTCTGTAAAACGGGAACGGAAAAGGGGAAGAAATTAATACTAAGTAAGATTGAGCACTTTTTAAAAGCAAATGTTAAAGTCAGAAGCAAAAGAATGAAGGAAAGTAGAGACACATGGATTGACAAATGCAGTTCTTTATGATGACAAACTCTGATGACAGTCTCAGTGCTACACTAGCCATGCATAAGTGTAACATCATGAATTACAGTGGGCATAAGCCAAGGATCAGTTCTGAACAAAGCCTTGTGTAGCCCAAGTCTGACAAAGCTGACATTACAACTAGCCAAGCAGTCCCCAAATTCGCAGGAGGTGAGTGACAAAACGCAAAGGAAGCCCTTGCAGAGACTGTTGGTCCATTATGCAATACGGCATTTTGAGTTCCCTCAAGTCACAACCATGGCCAAAACACTCTGTACCCACAAGTGCTTGGAGAGCGACCAAAAGCTGTCCCATTACCCTCACCAACATACTTGTCATCAACACACATAGGAAGCAGGACCACTTTGAGGCTTACCAAGTTGTCATTTCCTGGAAAGAACGCCCTCCCACAAACACTCAGTAATCGCGTGTGCCACTTGGCAGGTTTGCCATTTTGGGGTTTCCATACGAAAAAGCAAATTTGGAAGAAATACAAACTAAGCAAAAGAAGTAAAACCCTTAAAGCATTGGCAATTTGAGAGCCTGCGAGATTGAGCAATCATGCCCACTGAGCACTGGACGCACTTATTTTTCTAGGAAGAATTACATCTATGAATTAAGGTCACTACAATGTTACAGGTAAAATGAGAGTATAAAGAAGGAAGGAGAGACAATCTCAGCTTAGATCCAAAGTATGCCAATCCTCAGTCTTTGTTAGCAGCCACAAAGAATGTTCTGCAGCACATAGAGTGATCGAATCTCCATAGCTGCCTAGATAAAGTCCAGGAAGTCAAAAGCATTTACAGGAATGTAGAGGCAAGCACAGAGAAGCAGAGATAGTCTGCTATACTGCTGTGCACCTTGAAGCTATTGGTAAACAGAGAACTTCAGCCTCCAGGGAATGAATTTGCTTTGTGTATTCTGTTTTAAATTATGTTTCCTTTATGCAGAGAAAGAGCATAAACTGGACAAATTTACAAATTTTATGAAGACATGGACAGAAAATATATTGGTACATGGTCAGTTCACTTAGGTCTCTTTTCGGTTGCTTTGCAGAGGACTATACAAACCAAGACATTTGCTCACCCAATACAGCACTGAAAGAAGTAGGCACACAGACAGCTCTGCCAACAGTGTTCATTGCTGGGTAAAACAAAGAAGAAAATTATTCTTTCCTGGAAGGACTACTGGGCTAGCAGGGAGGTCTTTAGGACCTTTGAGCTACTTAGTAATTTTTCTCCCTGCTAACGGGGAAGTTGCTAGGATAAGGAAAGCATCTTCTCTAAGAAAAAGGCACAAAGATTAATTGAAACTTATAGAAGACAAAGCTAAGCAAAGCATCTCACATTTAACAATAAGAATGAATGCTAGCTTTAGCTCAAATATTACCTTTCAGTGATTCAGAAAAATAGCATGCAGATAGTGCAAGTCAATACAGTAAGAACTGTGAGAGCAAAGGTCCTCACAAACAAGATTTGCCGAGTACACCAACTGGGGCTTATAGTCCCACCCTCAACCCCAGTGCTAGAGGTTACATCCTCTTCACAAGAGCAACAGCTCAACCCAACATGTACCAGCTGATTAGCCAGTGTGAAACAGAGACCAGAACATGAGCTAAATACCCTCCATTTCAGCTTTAAAGGGCTGCCTTAATTCACCACCTCGTCTAAGGTACACACCGCGACTCACACAGCTTGGCACTAGGGCTGGTACCCTCGGCAAGAAAGTTGCCCAGAAGCATGAAGACCATCAATCACCACTAGAAAAATCAGTAAATGTATCAGCACATTCTGGTTTGCAAGCTCAGCCTGGCAGCTCTCTGGTGCAGCAGACAATGATTCAGGACCATGGTCCCAACGACAGCCTCTAATTCCCACCATGCCATGAGAAAGGGCTCTAGGGCCACCATGAGGAGACCTAGAATCACCATGAGGGGATCGAGGGCCACCATGAGAGGATCCAGAGGGCTCCAGGGCTATCATGAGGGGCTCCAGAGAGACCCTGGGACACCATGGGGGGCTCTAGGGCCATCACAGGAGGATCCAGAGGGCTCCAGGATCACCATGAGGGAATCC